AAATCAAAGGAGTAATTAATTTCAAACTCCTCAATCCACAGCGAACTGTCGATGTAGAGATCTATAGTTAGCAACTGGAATGTTTAAATCAAGCCCTTCATCAGAAACACCCTTCAATCATCAACTGTAAAGGTGTTATTCTTCTGCACGTCCACATGTGGCACGTTTGACGCAACACAAGATTATGGAGTTGGACTGGGAAGTTCTCTCCCACCCACCACATTCTCCAGATATAGCATCATAAAATTACCATCTTTTCGTTCCCTGCAATACCATCTTAATGGGAAAACATATGCAAATGTGGAAGGTGTTAAAGAGGACATCAACATGTTTCTTGCTTCAAAGTCAAGTGATTTCTTTAATTAGGGCATTAACAACCTTATTGTAAGATGGAAATTCCATCGATAAGAATGGAGACTATTTCATTTACTAAATGTTTTGTTTTTATATACAAGTTATTTGGGTTTTTTTCATCTAAAAAAAAAGCAACATTAATTTCTTGACAACCTAATATACGGGTTTATTATATTCATCAATTTACTTACACTCAAATTTTCTGTGCTTCATTACAGTTAACAATGTGTTCAGCATTATTTAAAAAAAATTAATCTGAACAATTACTTAGATCTGAGAAACTGTGAGGCTGTGATGCATAACTCTGAGGCATTGACGTTTACTGGCAAGTTAGTTTCATAGCAAACAATGTTAACATCAGCCAACATATATATATTTTTTCATTAAATCTCTTTTACACATTACAAGTAACATATATTCATGCAGGTATATGAAAAATAAGTCACATTAACATTATGAATTTAATCTTTCTTAATGTTCAGGGAACAGATAGAAAATTAAGGTTCAGTCTATTTTTGAATTTGATATGTCACTGAAGTAGACCAGTTTCAAGAAATTTTACTTGTTATCAATAATATTTTTCAAACATCACAGACAGCTCTCCATTTCTACAAGAAGCCAAGCCATGGTCTTTGGTTTACCCTTGTCCTTGATAAGGGGTGAAATTTCCCCACATTGGTCTAAACTATCGAAATTACAACAGGTCTCACTTTTTTAAATCAAAATTCACAATTAACGAAAAGAAAAAAATTACATTAAATCAATTAAAATTATTACTAATTGAGCTATGTAATAATGTAATCTAAATTTTGTATCATATAAATGACAGTTATTACTGATTAGCCTAAAACTGATTGAAAAGATAGTGAACTGATTTTTTCTTCTTTAATGTTTAAGCAAAATGTGGTACATATTTTTATGTATGTGTGCAATGAATTCTTTTCCCCTTTATATTACATAATGCTCATAACTAAGAGAAATGGCAGTGAAAAGTAACAAACAGGGAGGTATACCAAAAGTAAATGAGGCCAGATCTATCAATGGATTCAACATTTGTCACTGATTTACTTATGAGGGATGGCATTTAGTATCTTAAATAGTTTGTCTGTTGAATAATCTAAAAGAATACATTAGTAGCATCAATGCTACATTTTCTTCAACTCTTATATAAATATATGTTCATTGTGGTGAGTAAAGTTCAGTTAAATACACCATACATATAACAAACAGGGAGGGAATTTTGCTTCATTAAGGTCTATACTTATTACAGTATTAAGTGTGTTATGTCACATGACCATTGAACATAACTTCCAGCTACATTTTCAAGGAAAGGGAAAAACTGCTCACCTATACAAATATTAATGATTAAAACACCTTAAAACTATTTCACTCTCAATAAACCTTTACTGTTATTTAGGGAATGATAGCTGCTATAACATAATTTTTGAACTCGGTACATTACACATTCACCATAAATTTTGTTTTTTTCCCTTTCAGTACATGAGGGAATAAAAGGCAGTTCTTTAACTAACTTAGCAAATTACATATCTCACCAAACATTTGCTTCTTTTGTTAATACTTTTGTTTCGATTGAGGATTCTGTACACTGTAATGATTTTGGTGAGCACCATCGGACAGGAACAGCAATATCACCAAGGCAGTAATAGTCTTCCTGAAACAGTTAAGGTGTTATTTTTAGAATCAGTAAGTTTCATAAAAATTCTGTAAAATATGTACAAAAAAATTATTTTCCAAATATCTCCTCTTTCATCTGATAACCTTAATTCAAAATAATCAAGACACTATTAAACTTTAAAACATAGAAATACAACAGCCAGTAATATATTTTGAGACTGAGAATACAAATTAATGTACCATGAGTGCTACATATTACATCATGTGCATGTGACAACTAATATATAAAGGAAAAACTAGAATTTTTGTCTTAATTACATACAAAAGTTTGCACACATTACCTTACAAAAAATTAGTTGACTTTCACTTAACAAAACATTATTGATCTATATGTAAAAATGTCAACTGCTGACTGATTCTAAAAAAAATTAGTTGACTTTCACTTAACAAAACATTATTGATCTATATGTAAAAATGTCAATTGTTGACTGATTCTAAAAAAAATTAGTAATTTTTTAAACATAACTAGCAAAATTTCAGATTTTGAAATTATGCTATTACGATTTATATAAGTCATTGATATATGAAAGTTGACAGTAATGTTCTCCAATGTATGTCAAATGGTATATCAGTGTTACAACTTCCATTATGTTCAAATGAGAATGACCAGTCACGTGGGTAATGCTAGTTGCTCTGGGTAAGTCTGGTGTTGTTGATTCAACTAAGTGAGTTTTAATCAGTTTGGAACAGTATTTCAAGAAAGTCAGTCAACTTGGAGTAAATCTTAAAGGAATAATGTCAGTTTGATCAATCTACCTCTCCAAATAAATAGCTGTCCATTGTCAAAAGATGCCATATGCACATTACTTTGATCATTTTGGCAAGTCTGAATAGACTGTTTCAATGGGTCTTGTATACTTGTGTTAAGTCTATATATTTCTTGACACAGACTCAGTTAGTTTTAACAGAATTCATGATTGCTTCAGAATATATCTTACCAGATCTCCTGTTATTAGCAGACCTACCTGATTTACTCTTTAGGGAAATCAGTTATATTTGAAAATACCCCAAATGTAGTGAGTTTTTATTGTTAATTAAGGTTATTTCCATGTGGTGTATCACTTGCTGTTATCATCAGTATTAATATGCTAAATGTAAGTTAATAACACGCATCATCAGTTTAAGTTTAACTGACATTAAGCCACAGTAAAATACAAGTAGTATTATCTTTCTTCTTTAACACTCAACTTCAATATTATTTATTAATCTCGTACAATATCCATGCACACACATTAATTTCCTAATATTTAAAGTAGTTGCAGCAAATGACAAATCACTTTATAAATGTGAAATATATAAATTCTTATAGTATATATATATATAATGTAATACTATTTAAACAAACCAATTACTAACTAAGGATTTTGGTTACTCAAATATTTGAAAACTACATGAACAGATACCAAGAAAAAAAAATCTATAATTTTAAGTCACTGCATATTTTTTAATATAAATTAAGATCCCTTTCTATTTAAAGTAACTCAACTTTGTGTCACTCCTACAGCTACTAAAAATCCTAATTTACTTTTTGTATTTTTATTCTGTGTTTATAAAATTGTGTTTTGTTGCATTAATGTGAAAAGCATGTTAAATATTTTTTTTCATAATGTAAAATATAATTGACTGATGGTTGTTTATATTCAACTTGTCCCCTGGCTGGTGAGGTGGTGCCAAGTTTATATAGTTACAACACTAAAATATTGATTTTAATTCCCTACAGTGGATAGAGTGCAGATTGCTTTGTGTAGTTATGCACACACAAAAAAAATATTAAACTTTATATATATTTATAATTAATTTATGTTTGTTATTTAATTAAATTTTATGTAACAATATCATTCATCTAGAGTGCATGATTTACAAATGTATTGGTGTGGGAGTTCATTGGTACATTGTACTGTTTAATTTAATTACTGATTGAGTAAATGTAGAGATGTGACTGAATCTTGCAGTTGAGCAGGTGACTCTGTAGAAACTGAATGTGTTATGACATGCATATTTATGCTAGAAAAAGTTGTGAAAGCTTTGCTTCATGAGCTGTATTACTACTCGGAATTTAACTTAGCAAAAAGTTTGCTTCCTTTAATAATAAAATTAAAAACTATCTTTACTAGTTGTTTATCCTATGTATATTGTCACTCCACAACCAACACCTCACTGTAAAAACTTGAAACCTAAAAAATTTACCTCACTACATTTTATATTGCTATTTGCTTGACACCTTACTTCTGGTTTATTAATTTTTACAGTTGGGAGGAATAATAGTGTTAAGGTTATATTTTGTAGCTACTATGTGCAGGTAGTTAAGATCATTCATCAAATTGTGTAAGCTCCTTAACAGTATGAATTTTATTGGATAGTTGGGTAGCGAAAATTCCATTTTTAATTCATTTACCACTAGTAATTTTTTAATCTAGACATACTAAGTTTTATTACAAAGTTCATGTAAGTATGTAGAGGCTGGAAGCCAACATCAAGAGATAAGTTTTACTCATCATGTCCAGGATTTCATTGTAGCAGTTGAAAAATGCAACATCAAATGATATTTAATTATAGTACAAGGTAATTATTAGGGTTTTCATAATTTAGATAACATGTTTAATATGGATGAGAAACTACTCAATAGCATGGCTGAAGAAAATAATCTTGAGATTCAGGTAGAATAATACCAAAGATCTAGGTGTGCATGTACATGCATGTGGATAAGTAATAATACCCAGGTATACACCCTCAGGGTCCACTTAGCATGTGTACAAAATTTCAGGTTTCTAGGTTCTTTCCTCTTGGAGTTATGGCAGTCACACACACACACACTCTATTATTATAGATATTGGGGATTATAAAAAGTACTGAATTTTTAATTCTGCATTATGTTTATCTTTTATTTCATGTGTTAAGAATAAAATATGTCTACTACATTGTTAGGAATATGAAGAAATGCTGGCAAGAAAAAGGCTTTACATCAATCTGGTTCATGTAGTAAACAGAGTAAAACAACAAAAGAAAGATGTCCAAATAATAAAAAAAATTACCTACATTTGGTGTGACTGAAGTATTGTTAATTACAAGTATGTGAGAAGGAAAGGTCACTGATATATTGTGGTTCACATTTTATTGGTAAGCATATTGCAGTAAGTTTTCTAAGAACTAATTTTTGATGACATTTTTTCCAACTTATAGTTTTTCAGGGTTTCTATACTTTTAGTAGAAAAAATTCAAGAATAATTCCAGAATATTTTCATAAAGTTCAAGAATTATTTTACAATTTTTACCATAAAGTTGGCGATCAATATCATAACACTGTATTTAAATCTACAAATGTCCACTGTTAATAATAATATAAATGGCTTATTTGTACAGGATTAAGAGAGTGGCACATTGCAAATTATTTTTCACCACAGATTTAGCACTAATTTTGTATTTATAAAAATGGAATATTTCACCTAATTATTATCTTACCCTTTCCCTCCCATGTTTGATAGGGATTCTAGCAAGTACTGTTAATCACTGCTCTTAGCACATGGTAATCAATGGATATTACTTTCATGAAAGAAGCAAAATATATCCATTCAGGATTTTAACTTTTTCATGGCCAAATGATTTGCAAAAATAAGTATTTAAACTGCCTAGTCATGAACTTTTCTTGCAAATTCAAGCACAAGTTACTAGCCATTTAGCTACCATGTTCCAGCAGACAGATTTATTTACTTTGACATACTTGTGCCATGCCAAGTTCTATTTATAGTCTCAACAACAATACAGCTTTAGTCATAAACGTTATAGATTAATCAATTGGATATGGGTAGGAGATGGGTCAAAGTGAGTATGTTACAACCTTTTTTTTACAGGGTTATATTCAAAATGGAATTAAATTATTTTATTATCCAAGTATGTCAGTAAATTTAGCATCTAAACATGTGCTATAGAATTGACAAGCCAGAATATAAAATTTCAACCTCTTCTTGATTTACTATGATATCACTGTACAACACTCCGCATTGACATGCCCCTCCCACATCATCTGTCTTTTAAAAAATGGCAATAATTTTCTCTGACATTACTATTGGACATGTTTATAATTAAAACAAAGAGTAAATTCTGCACTGTGCAAATTGGATGACTTTTGTTTTACCAGAGAAAAGCTAGTAATTCACCATTTTTACGATAATGTTGAGTCTCTAAGTATTGTACATATAACTCACATGCTTTGTAACCAACTAAGGGAAATGACTTGTCACAACTCATTTTATTTATTAGGCAAACATATACTTAGCCAAAGCGAAAACCTAGTATGTTTGAATATCCTTCAACTAGCCTAAATTTAAAATCAAACTTTATTAAAATTAAAACAACATTAATTTATTGTGTAAAACAAAACTTTTGAAAGTTATAATTTTATTTTACTAAGTTTCATAACCAATAAGGAATAAAGAAGAATAAAACTAAAAAGTCCATTCAGAAAATACAGTATTATTGTGTTTAATATCAAATTTAGCTGTGTAACATTAAAACCAAATATTAAGTATTTTTTACATGTAAAGATGCCTGGGTGTTCTTTTATTAATTTCTGAAAATATTGATGGGAGTTTGAACCCCCCTACATTTGTTCCTACTTATATAACAATAAATGATACAGTTATTAACGTCAAGAAAAAATAAGATGCGTCTTCCCCTAGACATTTTGTGTAGAATTGTGTTTGCTTATTCAACATATAGTTATTAATTTCTCAAAAAGCAATGTAATGTCTGCCTAAGACGTTTAACTGATCTCTGTAGATTTTTCAGGATAAATGTGCTGTTATAAATGATATATATTAAATTTTCTCCCTTTGTAGAGACTTAGCTGCTCGTAACTGTTTAGTCACATCAGACTTGAGAGTGAAAATTGGAGATTATGGAACCACTATAGAACAGTTTAAGGTGAGAAGTGTTGCATAAGCATAGGCAAAAAGCTATATAATTTGGGGATGGGGCTTCACGATCTGAGAATCTCTGGTTCAGTTCCCATCGCCACTAAACTTGCTCACCCTGTCTTTGTTATTGAAAATCTATGAAAGCTGTCAACCATTATTGTTAAGTTTGTACTGCTGACTAGAGGGAAGACAACTGGTTGGCAACATCCACCATCAACTCTTTGGCAACTTAAGTGTTGAATAAAATATTTCTAACGTGTAATTGCAATCTTTAATGTAATATAATCTGGTGCATACCTAGAGAAGTGGTCCAGGGAGTCTGAACCTTACCCATCCATTTTTAAACATTTGGTTACAGACTCATTATTTTAAGCAAGATTTGAACCCTGATCCATGCTTTCAGCAAACATTCTAACAAAACTATTAAATTACTGGGTTTGAAGTTTTCAAGTATCAATATTTAATTAAATGGTTTATTACTAGAAAAGATTCAGGGTAAAATCACAAGCTATGTTGATCAACATTCAATACTTGGAGCTTTTATACAGCTATTTTTTAGTGAAAGGTGCTGAGCATGATGCTTGAACTGATGTTATGCCTATTAACATTTTATGTTTGACTAATGACTCACCGATTGAATTTTCTTTGCCAATTTTAAGTGAACTACGTCTGATTCAATTATGTCTACTGGTTAATGTTAAAGAACAAATATTAGTTACTATTTTGAAGAATAGAGAGAAGAATGTTAAAAAAAAAGGGCAGAAACTTTAGTCAACGGCAAATTCAGACTACATTTCTACTGTTATGATTCAGGTAACATCAGACTGACAATCAGTTCAAGTATCATTATGCTCCTACAATCAGTTTGAAGCATTTGGCTTATGAATACAACTACAAATTTTAATCAAGATTCAGTCAAAGTTAGAATGCAAACACAAGTACTACAATCCAATTTCTTACAGTTGGATTGATATGTTATAATGTAACATCATAAAATTACGTCAGGCATTCAGAATTATACAAAACAGTGTGTCTGCAAAGTAAGCATTTACAAGTTCAAAGTTATTAAAAATATTAACACAGATTAGAAAAGTTTTCAAGAGGTAAATTTGCTTCAGGTTAAAGTAATCACAGTTGTGACTGAAGAAAGGGTCAAAAGTCAAGTTAAGTAAATAAACATGCACAATTTTATTAAATATTGTATCAATTAATCAACTAAATATATATTTTTGTTGTTGAAAACAACTTTTCTATCTTATTTAAGCATAAAGCCAATATATGTTTTAATGTATAGCTTCTACAACAGACATTAGTGACAAACAGTGATGTGGGATTTGGTTTAATCTAATTCAACAACTTATGTTAGACCAGCTTACTAACGTAAGTACAAAACTTTATTCGTTTCATGACTTGAAAGCTCATATACTTACAAGTGAACAAATCCTTCTTCATGAATATGTTGTAATCCAGAAGCTACATCAATAGCCATACTAAGTAGAGAAACATTTTCAACTAATCCCTCACAGTTGGAGCAATTACCAGTTAGGAATATCTTCAAGTTCTAGAAAAAAAGTCCATTTGAGCAAATTTAGAAAAGAATACAAGGTGTTGTTCTTGGAATACATATAACTTTAGTCTTACTTCCTGTCTTTTTTTTGGAGATTATCATGATTAATGCTATACTAGCTCACCAAATAAACTGGAAAGTACAGTTTAAATAAAAATAATAATTAAATTATAGGAACATGTATAATTAATGAATAGCTTGATAGCTTTAAACCCATAATTTAAAGTAACCTAGAAATTCCTTTTTAAATTTTCATTTCTAGAAAAAACTGTTACACATTACTAATGCATGCTAAGACATATAAGTATATAAGCACATTTGGAGTATGATATTGTCAAAATATTAATCATGTGTTTCAGTGTTAACAGCATTAAAACTTCATCCTAAAGCTATTCATGTATTATCTTCATAATATATCAGCTAAAAAGTATACTACTTAATCCTATGATTAGTAATGATATGCTGGCTTAAACAACCAAACTCATACATTTTGATATTCTTAACTGACAATTTTCTTTCCCAGAACCATTAATTTAACTTATGATGCAGAAATAAGAAATATTAATCTAATGGTAAATAGTATAATCACAAAAGTTACAAATAACATGTTTATTTGATGCTTCAGAAATCTTCTTATTCCACTTTCAATATATTTCTACAGTATATATAGAAAATAAAACTCAATGAAGAGAACTTGCAATGGAATTATTTCTACAAACCAAGTGAGGTCAGTATGCTATCCTACAAATGTAAAAATATCTTTATTTGATGTGAAGGTTTACAAACACTCTCAATTTAATTTTAATTTGGGTAGTGTTTATGTAACAATTTAATGAGTTGATTCAAAAAATTAAGTTTTGTTTGCCTACACCTTTGGTTCAATTACATCAGGCACTTAATGACAGTAATTTATATGAAATTAATAACAGGGTTAATTTCTTGATTAAAAATTTACAAGTAATTGTTTCAAAAAAATGTCTTGGATATTCATTTTGTTTTTAAAAATTCTAATTTCTTATACATCAGTAAATAGGCAAGTGATCGAGTTGTGTTTATAGCCATTGTGAATGAAGCAATAAGCATGTCCAAAAGCCAATGACGATTTTCTTGTAATATGTAAAAGTATTAAAAAAAACACTGGAGTTTGAAAAAGTAGTGTTTCACCCCTGATTTGTGACTTTTGGAAGTAATTTTCACAATTAATGAATGGAAACAGGCCAAACAACAAAGGATCAGCACAATTGTATTTCTTTTCAAGACTTGTAATAAATGTTTAATAAACTGTTCCAAACTTGCATGAAAAATTAATAGGAAAATTACACCATATTCTGGAGAAACTTAAATGGCTGAAATTACAGATTTAACCAATAATAAGTGTCAGTATTTATTTAGGATTTGTTTTAAAGAAGATTTTAATTATCAACTAAAACAAGAAATTCATGGACTCTTCCAAAATATTTTAAGATCTAAAGTTACATTTTAAGGACTTAAGACTTGTTTGTTTTAAAATTTTGTGCCATCTCTAATTTTGAATAACATGATCAGAGATAGATAGTAGCTATTCAACAGCACCCAGTGCCAACTCTTGTCCAATCAAATGGTGTGAGTTGATCACCACTCTCAAAGCATATCCACAGTTGGATGTTATCATTTTCATGGTTTTTTCTAAAACTTCAGCAGTAAAATGTACATCTTTACAGGTTTTCATGGTCTTGATTTTTTTAAAGGCAATTTCAAATACTTTCAAAATTTTCATGTTCCCATAAAAAAAAAGTCATTCACATGTTAAATTCAAGAGTTTTCATTGATAATTCTTTAGTTCAAATGTGGAACTCGTCTACTACTTAAAATGTGGTTAATTAGACAGATAGCAAGATGTTTAGACAACACATGGTCTAAGTACACAGTTTTCTCACCGTAAAACTGTTAACCCTCTCACAATGGCCATCTGTTTCTGTGCATGTCATAAGGTTTTATGAGTTACATTCAAACTATAATTAAACCACTTTGTTTTCATTGTATACCAATGAATGTAGCATAAAAACATAGTTAATAATTCATATTTTAATAGCATATAAGTTTTAAGTTCTTACTTTTATAAGGAAATATTAAAAACAAATATAGAATTTCCTCTATAATTGTGATAATTGTGACTTTGGTCTCCAGGTATCCCATCTACTCTAATTTATTTACCATCCCTACAAGAAGTAAGAAGTTTAACACAAATTACTTATTACAATATCTTCATCATTCAGGCAATGCAAAATTTTTATAGCCTTCAATCTTATTTGGTAACAGAGCCATGAATTAGTCAACAGACCCTGTCACATCCTCTCTTTCAGAAACTACCAATAGTTCTCTTTGACGTTCAATACTATAGTAGTTATAGCCAATAAACAGCCAAGGTTTTCATCAATCAAATGACATAATATATTGCATTGTTTTCTGTACAGAGAATTGTCACTTTCTCTTCCAGTTCAACCTTTATTCCCATGGGAAACACATTGAGAGTTTAGATGAATTCCTAAAAGTTCTCGACACATATTTAGAAAGCCAGAAAAATTGTGATCGTTATAGGACATTGTCTGTTTTTGCATGTTATTATTCTGTGTTCTTTGGTGCATTATTTAATAAAAAGACAATAAAATTTAATTATAAATAGATGTATACTGTTACGAGTTTAAAGCTACTTAGGATAAACAAATGTAGTTTCATGTTACAATTTGAAGTCATTCTAGAAAGAAAAAAAAAGGTAATTTAGATTTTTTTTTTGGTGGTTAGAAGGTCAGTCAAATTGACCAACCTTGTATAAAGTTAGGGTACAGAAAATAACAGATTAAAAAATATATAAAGAGTTACAGAAAAAATAAATGTTTGAAATTTCTTTAGGAGGTTTTAAAGATCATACAAATAATATTTGAGATTTTTTAGACGAAGAAAAGTATTTTAATCTTAACATGGAAATCACTTAGCACTCAGACTAGTATATAGAAATGCTATCTATATTCACAAACAAATCTTTAGTAAACATACTTCCTTAAAAAATCTTATTTTTTGTGTTCAAAAGGCTTGTAATGTTTACTAAAGGTCTGCCAAATTTTGTGAAGATACACCAAGTGTATTAAAAGGTATAGTATGGAAACTATAATGAGTAAAAAAGTGGTTATGGAGTTGGTCAATTCGACCAACTTCATTCTGAGAGAGTTAAAAGTCTTACATAAAAATTAATACAAATGTGTATACTGGAGAGTTTTCGAGATCCCTCATTACAGAAGTTGGTTAAGTATACTTTTCAACCAACAAACCTCCTAAAGTCTAGAATACAAGTTGTTACTGTATGTCTACATTGAGCTTGTGGCAAGATTCTCAGAGAAGCTAGAATTCAAAACACTTCCCACTAAAAAGCAATTGAAGCCTTCATTATCTAAGTCCAATTATTAATTAGTTACTTGAATATAAGTTACAACTACACATCTATAAATGGCATTTCCATCACAAATTTAAAAAGAGAATTTCATAGAACTCAGATCCTACCACTGAAACTAACTCCATAAGAATCAAAAATGGATCTTCTTCAAGGCACTGTCCAATCACATGCACAATATTAGGATGGTGAAGTTTTCTATCAAAGAATGAAACAAAAATATAAAAAAAACAGATACTGCACTTAAAAATACAAACCATGCACATGTACTTGCTTAGTTTAAAGGTATGTTTTATATCAGACTAATATGATAGTCCAATATTCTATCTTTAAGCTGTGGTTATAAAACATCTCAACTAAATGACATCATCTTAGTCTTTATAATCTATTTGTCTTTTCTACAACATTAATTTCTTTAGTGGAAATTTTTATAGATCAAAGAAAAATTAGGGTGGGTTGGGCCAGTATGTAATATAACACACATTATAAGAGTACCTTGAATACCAATAAACCCTTAAAAGGTGGCTTTATACATAGACTTTTACAAAAAAATATAGACAGACCACAATATATCCACTATCAAAGCTGTAATCTAGCTCACTTCAAATGGAACGTTACTTACAATCAAGTCTTCACAAGAAAAAGAATTGTACTAACAGTAATGATTACAAAACACACATTGACAGACTAAAAACATCTGAGAAAGAAAGAAAGAGGTTATAAAGTTTCTAAAATATAAAAACAATTTGAAAAAGCTGACAATATTTCACCTGTTGTTGACCTCAAACAATCTGACAACAAGCAATCTAACAGATTTTAATTGGTTATCACATACTATCCAAAACTTAGAAATGCTTCACAACTCTTTTAAAAGGATTTTCATCTGTAGTTTAGTGAACATCTAAAGCGAAATTTCCCTGAAATTCCTGTTGTTTTTCAAAAAAAAAAAGCCTTTAAGATATCCTTGTTCACACAAAAGTAAATTATACCATGGATGTTCCCCTTGCAATAAAGTTCAATGTCAGAGTTGTAAATTCATAAAAACTACAAGTACTTTCTCTGACCAACATGGAAAACCAACACAAACTTCTTGTCAAACTGAAAACATTATATATTTTATACATTGTACAGTGCAAAAAAATACAACCATCAGTACATTGGAAAAGTCCAGACTAACCTTCAAGAACAGTTTAATAAACACAAATTTTTGTTCCCCTACACTTTAACCAGCCTGACCATTTTACCAATAACATAGTTCTATCAGTATCACAACTGGATCTAAATCAAAAGTTAATAGAGAAATAAAAGAAGCCTCCTGGAACAGTATTTTAAACACTGTTACCCTATGTGGTATAAGCTTGAACCTGATATTAATGATCTTCATCTTTTAACTAAATCTTTCGACAAAATCTTAGAAAATTCAGAATTGAAACAAATTTCCTTTCTTATTGCATTTATAGCCTTTAACTCCTATTAATAATTAAAAGTATTTTTACATTCTTATTTGTACAGGTATTATTATTATTGAATTTCATTTCTTAAACTTTTCACCCTTTATCATTACTTACTTATATCTAAAATCTCCAAACTGTTTTGAACATTATTTCTTGCATAAACACATTCTTGTAAGACATTTCTATTTCAATCCTGCTCTTTCTCATCATCTACACATCACACACACAATACTATTTCACAAATTAGGTCATATTTTAAGAAATGCATGCCATCACGCTTTCAGTCTTATGACAACATAACTGATCAACATGCTTAGAATGGTCATTCACAATTGACCTCTGGTGAAGGAAAGTCCACTTTCTAAAAGTTCTCAGGTTTGGGTTTCTTTTCTGATAGAAAACTAATAACTACATATTCTTTTCATTCATGGTACATAAATATTTCTAATTTACCCAATTTGTGCCAAGATTTATTGTTATCTCTGCTTTTGAGGCTGTTGACAGTCTGCCATTTGGTCAGTATTTCATATGCTCTGGCAGGAGACAAAACATAGCTTA